CTTACAAGACAACGAGCGATTGTGGAAAACTCAATGACAATTTTGATATCTCGTTGATTTTTTCACTGTGCAGGCACAGCGTCATGCCCAAACCTCAAACTCTTTACAAGCCTGGCCCATCTTAAACGTAATGTGAAACAGTAGATAAGATATATACATTATAATAGTGACAATAATACACATTTCAAGACACCATCATGAACAAAGTAAACACAGAAAACTTTTTATAAAACGAGTCTATACTTTTCATATGAATACTCAGTGCGCTTACCTCATGTGTACAACCTTCAACAGTTTCCACAGCTTGCACCTTTACTTGAGGCATCAGGTCTGCCAGACTAAAAACACGTAAGTTAGCATTGCCAAAAATATATTTGACATTCATATTTTCTTTATAAGTAGAAAAATATTGAACTTTAACCGCAGCGTTATAAAAGGCTTACACAAACTTGAAAAAGACTTGCTAGAGACGACCACCAGTACTAAGAATACCACTAAGTGCTAAAATCTAGCTACCTTACAAGTGTACTTCAGCTACCACTTTTGATTTGCACAATTTTAAGACTTGCATCACACAGCAACACTAGGATCACATTTATAAAAGAATGTTCATGTGAAGTTTTCTGATTAAACGCAAATTTTTGTCAATACCCATCAAAAGCAAAATTCAAGATCTGTGTGCATGCTACTAGTCATGATACTCAGTACCAGCAGCCTGAAGATGACATACCTCTTCTCTTCTTTACCTTTTTTCTCTTATGGCCACAAGGAGAGAGAGGCTAGTGCCTCACTACATAAAATGTAGTGGTTTTCTCATACTGTACAGTATTAACATACTTATTTTACAAAGCTACTGTGCGCAAGTATCTGTTTTACTGAGAAGATCACTAACACAGAAACTGATTTAAGATGTTAATTCTGGTTCTGTTCTGCTTCTATACAAGTACTCTTTGTTGACAATGTTCTGAGAAGCCATCTCATCACTGCTCTAAAAGGAAATCTCACCTTGAATTTAAGAAAAGTTACTGCATAAGACCAAAGGACAATCCTGACCACAATTCTGCCTGACAGGAGTTAATAATATGACACCCAGAGGAAAACACAAGAACAGAGCAAGTTTATGTTTATTATTATTTATTCATTTTAGTTTATATTTTCATAGTAGAGCTTCTACATTTTGAGCTGGAAAGTACATGCTTGTATTTAGTAGCGCTGGATGAATTTTTATTCCATGAACCCACCTAACCATTTCCTTAACCTATGTAAGCTTCTGAGCTCCCAGCAAGCTCGTAGGATAGACTAAGTTGAGCTCCTGAACTGTACCTTCAATCTGCTTTCACAAAACCTTCATAACACCTATTATGAAGTTCTGGAAAGAAAAGAGGGAGAGACATGCAGGTCCTAAAAATGGCATGGCATTCTAAATTCCCTTCAGCCATCTCCCCAGTTGTCAATAACTTCAAGCTTACCCCCCCCAAGTCAGATTCCTGTAATGTCTGTTTAAATTTAAAAGCACGTCTGTATTTAGATCCCAAATATCTGCTCCAGCTATAACCTTACATGCCTGAAAAGTTTTGTTTCTGTCTTTTTGGTCAAATTCTTCTTCCTGCATCCCAAGCCAATTATTTCTTTCAGTGTGCTGGTACTCACCCACAAGCCTGCCTCCTTTTACGTGCCTCGCTACTTATCCTTTGCTACACGCCCAAATGGATCCGTTGATCCATTTAAGGTAACAACAAATATAAGGTGAACATTTCATACTACAGTTATCTATCTACAGTATTTACCTATTATGCTAAACATGCCCAGTGCTCATCACTGTCAAAGCTGTCCTACTACTACATCCTCACCCACAGAGATAACGGCAAATTAACCTCATATGCAAATTCGTCTTTCCATTAATAAGCTGCAAAGCTACTTACGCAGACGGCTCGCAACTGGCATATAGCTAACTAGCAACAATCTTACTGTAAATCTGACGCACGTTAGGCTAAGGGACTTACTTAACATCTTCTGATACAACATCTTCCAATTTTGGCTTCTTTCCCAAAACTGCATCTTCTGTACTGTTGACTTCTACTTCCCTTTTGGACTTCCCTGCAGCAACTACTGAAGATTTTTCCTCTGATCGTTTTCTGTAAGATAAAAAGACAGCAGAGCCGCTGTTTGCCACTTGCGCCACCCTGTATATCTTCAGCCAGAAAATGAGGTCTCCTGTCTGCAACGCTGCCCAGACCCCACTTGGGGCGCAGCCTGGGGAACCCCATTCACGAAAACCACAGCGGGTTTCCAAACCGCTTCCCGCATGAACCCGGCCGCGCGTCGCCCCGGCTGCCTGAAGCCGTGGGGCC